CCGCTCTTCAGGGCTTTCAACATCACTGTCCTTAATGTCTAAAGCTAATTACTTTGTTGAAACTAGTCACTCCTTAAACATAGTCTGCCCATGGAGCATTCTGGTTATGAATCTAGTGTACTACTTTGGTGTCCTCTAAAGCTTTAAGCTTTTTTTGGTATTGGTTGTTTCACATGGTTTTTCACTGAGTTCTTCAGCTTCTAACACAGCTGTGGTAATCTCAGCATCACAGTAACTTTTCCAAAGCTTGCTGAATGACTGAAATTACAACAATCTGTTTATGTGCCTGTAGCACTGGATACTACCTTCTGTAGAAATAAGTGTTTTTTTCATAGCAAACTAGAGGCACAGAACAAGGCAGAGATCAAATGCTTAAGTGTTTCAGGCAATTTCACCTGAAAGTTGTTAGGGGGTGTACTTAGCTGCCACATCAGTGGATTAAGATTTGATCTTGGTAAAGATTTGACTATAGCTTTACACCGGCTTTAACAGATGTTGGGAAATGAACATTACTGTGTTCAAAACATTTTGCAGAGATGGAGTTTCCGGCAAGCGTAGAAGTACACGTTCATTTCCATTTTGCAATCTGAGAAGGATGAATGATCAGTGTTGCAGAGTTGTGCCTCACTGGCTTGCTGAAGGACACAAAGTGTCTCGTTAGTCTTGCATGGAGGGTCTGAAACATTGTATTCTGCCTGATTTTGAGCATTTAACAAAAGTGCCTAATTATGGAAGCTCTTCACGCAAATCTTTCTTTAGAAAGGGAAAAGCCCGTGGAAGCCATCAGTTACCTTCCAGAGATGCCCCTCTCTCCCTGTCTGGTTAATGGGGAGACGTCCATGAATAATCTCTGATTTTTAGGCACTGACATTTTACATTTTTAAGGTTAGGTGAGATATCTTCTGATACAGGTTCTGGATATATTTATACAGCCTAACTAACTTGATCACTCTTATAGGAGCTTTTGAGTCCTTGTTTATTGAAAACATAAGAGGTACTGGTTCTGCATGAATTTGGATGCAGTGCAAGTCAACTCTCACCTCCATCATTTTAAAGGACAGTTCTGTATTCCAAATTACAGCATGTTCCTAGTTTTGTGACAACTACATGATGTTCAGAAATTAAGGATGGACAGTACTCTAAGCTTTTGCTTTTTGTCCTCATACTGATTTTTCTCTTGCAAAGGAAAGATCTCTTCACATTTTCAGTGTTGATCCTGCAGCTTTGGGGAGGATGAGTATAGTTAATACTATGAGCGTGCATCTGGGATTCTGCAGTAAACATCCTCCAAATAATAGAAGTGTGCAAAAATAAAGCTGATAATAAACAGGATTGTAGCAGAATCTGAAACATGCATATTAAATAGCTGGAATGCCTTATAATATTTGAATTCATTCTTAGCGTTTGAGAATCTTTTAAGCCAAAGTTGTCTGCAGGGTCTTTGTGTGTGTGATTTGGAAGTGCATGTGTGAATATGAAAGTATGCAAGACTTAATTATTATTAAAATTCTATTGTTCTGGAACTCTTTTTTGTGGTTTCCTCTCTGTCTTTAATGCAGCTTTCTTAGCTTTCTGAGGAGTTTGCTGAAAGCCATAGAAGTACAAATGAAAACTACATATATCTTGCAGATAGCCACTTTTAAGTCTTCATGAAACAGTGGAAGATAAGGCTACTTATCAAATGCCTGCAGCTCAAATGCTGGAGTCCTCTGCCACATCTTGGGTTTTTCTCTCATTAATCTTAGTAGAGTGTAGGCAGAAAGGATCCAAGCCTTATCTGTGTCGGCATGTGTGCTGTGAATGATTTTATGATGGCAGTTATTCTGAAATTACTCTGTAGTATTTGCTCTGTGACATTCAGATGTGTGTAAGATCCTCCTAAGCTAACGACCGAGTGTGCCTGTGTAGTGTCTGTATAAATAGATATTGTAAAGCCACTATCGTCAATGTGGTTTTAGGGTTCAAGTGAAGAGAATACAGTTACCGAGTTTCTAACTAAGATGATCTGAAGCTGTAGTAGGGCATTTTCCACTCCAACTTAACGATTGTGTTAATTTCTGGCAGTTTTTCAATGGTGCCCTTTTGGGTTTGGTCACCAAAATTAGTATAAAACCAAATCCTAAATGGGAAACTAAATCTGTGTGGGCGTGGGGATTTCCTTCCTGTTCAGAGAAACATCTGCATTGGTTTAGAAGAGGTAATGCAGCCTCAACTAGCCAAGAAGCCTTTTTTTACGTTCGTGTTATAATTTTAATAATTCTTGTATCAAGATGATGATTGCATCAAATGATTTAAGCAATTGTCATGTTGTGTTCTGCATCATAGTAATAACCATTGTTCCAGTGAGCAGTTTCTAGACCTTTCCTCAGAGCTAACATTTCTTACTAACCTCAGTTTATTTCAGACATTGCTAACATATCTTGTAACGCTGGTTGTATTTTCCTTCTTTAGTTGCTATATAAATCTACAAGCACAATAAAGGAATTAATTCTGTAGTCTGCTGAATGCACATGAATTAATGCAAGGGGAAAAGAAACTGCAGTTGTAGCAATAACCTAGTTGTATATGTGGGGTTTAATGTTAGCAGTATTATCTTTTAAAAATGTGAACCACGGAGTACTTTGTGCTTGTCTTAGCAGTCATATATGATGTTTCTTTTTAAAGGATTTAAAGCCCAGTAATATAGTAGTAAAGTCAGACTGCACTTTGAAGATTCTTGACTTTGGACTGGCCAGAACTGCAGGAACTAGTTTTATGATGACGCCTTATGTAGTGACTCGTTACTACAGAGCACCAGAGGTCATCCTAGGGATGGGATACAAAGAAAACGGTCAGCAAATATAGTCTTTCTTTGGCATAGCTTTATTTTTTGTTTGGCACACCACATTTTACATGTTAATGTTTTTTTCAAGCTGTAGAAATTTTATAAATTAACCTTGTGACCAAAATGCAGATTCTGGATACACCAATTTGTTTATTCAACTCAACCCATTAGAAATGTTTGCATTTAATAGGAGAAGAAATTGAGGGCCTTGTTTGTTTAAAAATTTAAATAACTTGTTTGGTAGATTAAGTTTCATCCCAGAAGAACTGGAAATATATTTTCTTAATACATGGTATGTACCTTGATACACCTTCATCTGACTCTATTCCTGATGAGGATGTATATTGTAATTCATCAGTAAATGTGTGTCCTAAATTTAATGTTTAAATAAGTGTATTCAATATAGCCTTTCAGGATACAGGGAACTTAAAGGCTACTACTTGAGACAAGAATGCAGAGAGTACTGTCATGAAGCATCATAGATTCTTTGAGGTCCATGACAAATTCCAAGGAAATTTGTTTACTTTGTCCCTCTGCTTCCATTTCCCTCCTCTTTATACTCACTCTGTGGCCCTTCTTCTCTCAGTATCTTCTACAAGAAAATGAGGAAAGGACACGCTATTTGAGGGAAACATACGATCAAGTACACTGCATCTTCTGAATGAAACAGATAATACCCTTTCGGAAACCAAAGAAAGTAACATGTCATTCCCGGAATTCTGTTATAGCAGCCCCAATTCTGCTGCCATTTCATTCATCCGCCGTCACTGTGATCAGTTCAGCTTACTTAGTGTTTCCACCTCAGGCAGGCACGGTGCACAGAGGTCACCATTTGCTGAAGGTATTTTAAACCCTCTATTGATTAGTCCTCCAGTAAGGCCCATGAGATGCCATGATGCTTGGGGCTTTGTTAGCTGTCTCCAGGTGCTGTGAGGCATGGCTCCTCAGGTTACTGACACAACTGGGGCTTGCTTGGCTTTTGAGGATTCTTAATATAGTCTGCAAACTTCCCTGGCAACTGCATACCATTAGGAAAAAGTGACTTCAGGTTGTGTGTAAACGATAGAGAGTTGATTTTTTTTGTTCTTTATAAAAGTCAAGAAGAATAACTTCTATTGGTGTTGACAATGAAAGAAGCCAGCTCAAAGGAATGAGAATAGATCTTTTTTGCAAGGCTGTGGATTTTATTTCTGTTTGGATCGTTAGTGAGCATGAGAGGATGTACATTCCTTCAAATGGCCACCACGGTTGGCTGCTTTTCCTGTAATTTAGATGTCAGAGGTTGAGCAGAGCAAGCTTAAAGTTGTTTGTTTTTTTTTAACTCCTAAAGTTTGGTAGAAAGCGTATATTTAAGTTTGTCTTTCCTTTTTTTTCCCCAAGAGTTTACATTGGCCAGTTAAGAGACATTAGATAAAAGAACCTAGAGCTGTAGTCTGAGTGACGCAGCTGCCTTACAGAAAGAATTGATACAATGGAAGTCACAAGTTTTCTGACTTAGTTTGCCCAGTTTACATTTTTCTCTTAAGTAATTTTGAGTTGCAAAAGTGTGAAACATTCTTTCCACTAAAATGTTGCTTAGGTTATTATTGGAGTTAGATTTTGTTCTAGAGCACGCTGTCATGCTAGTGACAATCCTGTTCCTTAAGCAAGTGTGAATTGTGTTCTGCAGCAGAATATAAATAAAAATTTACTTTCTTACAAAAAACTGTCATGTCTTCCCCAAAGACAAATACACGGTCGTTGAGCTGAGAATGACGCTTTTGGAGAATGTAAAAGTTAATCTGTTGGCTAACTGAGTCAAAAGACAATCTGCATTTCCATATGTACTGTTGTCATTAAAAGGCTATTTGCATAAACTGTTACTCTTCTCAATCCCTGCTGGATTGAGTTCCTCCTGGTGGAGCTCCCCTGGCAGGGAGGCAGGTACAAGGGATGTACTTACAGTGAGAACCATGGGCTGTCCAGGATCCTCACCTGTTAGCACTGATGCCTACTTTAGCCCTTTAAACCCATAGTTAAATTAAAAGTTAACTTACTTAATTTAGAGTTAAATATTGAAAATGGACAGCTAACTAATGGTTAACATTAACATTTAATTTAATTGAACAGGGTAATCTGGCAGCTTTATGCTGTTTCAGTGCCCTGCTCAACTTCTGTGGGAGGATTGCAATATATGTTTTGATGACTGAGTTATGTACTGCAGAGTAGTATTCTTTTGGTACTATACTACGCACATACAAAATCTTTAGTTGTTTTAAAACTAGCAAAGATCCCAAACAGATGATAAGAGTTAACTTCTAGGTTTTGATACTGAAGGAGATAAAGCACATTGGGGTGTATTACATTAAGAAACTAGGCCTTGCAAACTGAAGAAATTTGGAACTGAACGACACCAAAACTGTTGGTGCACACATACCTTAACATATGTAGATTTATGTGCAGTTATGTGCATGAATATCAGGAAGGAATCACCGAAAAGCAAGGAAAGCTCCAAACCCTCTGAAACTACTACTTTTAAGTTTCCTAGTATGTACACGGGGTTTGAACTTCATTTTCAGTTGGTATTTTTTCTCTTAGAATTATAGAAAATAGTAAGTTCACTCCAAACAGAGTTTTTAAGAATAAAATACACTCTGTATGACAAGCAGTATATTTTTAAAAAGATTTTTCAAATCTGTTAGAAGATTTTACTCAGTCTTCTATAGAAATATTCACAGGAGCAGTCCTCAGTGTACAAGTTAGTCTAGCTTTATAAAAAAGTTAGAGACCTATAAATAGACAGGTTTTGTTTGATTAATGAAAGCAGCAAACCAAAACACCTCCAAAAATCATGTTTGGTTTTGTAGGGTGACCAGAAGAATGGTTTTCAATGTTTTTCTTCACCTCTGAAGTAATATGTCTTCTGAGGCACAAAGAGAAGTCATTGACTCATGTTATTTCTCTTCCCAGACTTCTCTGTGCAATTATGATCGTCGTTTTTATCATGTTGGACACAAACTAAATACAATAGATTTGGGTATATTTTGGTTTGTGATGGCAGCAGATTGTTTTGCAGGTGAAAAAGTCAACATTCATAATTTTATTTAAAAAGTCAAATGCAAAACTTGGTTTCAAATCTTTGGGTCTCTAAGCCAAAGAATATGTACTTTTCTTAAGTACTTCAAAAGAGTTTTTAAAGACAGAACACCACTAATCATAAAATGTTGACAGTATTTTTTTAAATGAACGAGGCCCTTAATTTTGACCTATTAATATGTACAACTATGATCTCCTATCATATGATTTAGATACGATTTTAGAGGAACTTGTGAATAAGGGGGAAGGAATATTTTCAGTAAGAAGCAACGTTGTTTGCTTGACATTGAGCTTCTTCAGAACTTTTACATGTGACTTTTAGTATACAATTGTTCTCATTTAAATCCCCTTCTTATCTGCTTAATTGAAATTCCAGTGTCATGTTTGACATAAAAGTATTTATAATAATACAAATTCATTATTATGACTTCAAGAAAACTTTTGCATACAGAGTTAACAGTATCTCTGAAAGCAACCACAAAAGAAATTGACATACCTGTAAAAAGTAAACTTGTGCATCTTTACGTATGTCTTCTGAGTGATTTATTTTAAGGTAATGTGGAAAATGTGTATTTCATACCCCCAAAAAATTGCATTTGAGTTTTTCTTTTGTATAAGATGTTATTTCAGCATAACTGGAGAAATACTTTTAAACAAATAATTTTAACTGAAAATCTTTTAGGAGCATACTAATATTGTCATTAACTGATCCTCTAAAATTCTAAGTGATCTTTTACTGATTGCATTTGCTTTTTATTTAAAGGGAGAGAGAGATGCATGGTAATCTGACTTTTAGGAAATACTTGGCGGCAAATTTTAATTCCTACGTAATAACCAATTAATTCTCCTCCTAAAAGTATAAAGTGTTCAGATACACAGTATTTTTAAAGGTCAGTTTACTTTGCTACTTTTAGAATTATTCCTACAACTACAATGGAATTACTTTCAAGAAATAAAGTTATCTTTGGTGCTTCAGTCTAGTCTATTGGCAGAGGTAGCTTTGCAAGCCTTGGAGCTTGGAGAAGGGCTTTACTTTGCTCGATTCGTGTGTATCTCTCTCTCCCTCTCTCTGCTCTAGCTCTTGCTCTAGCACTATGTTAAACAAAAGGATGTTTTTCTGCCTTGTATTGGAGACAGTTAAAAGCTAATCCTTGTATATGGTGTATTTTAAAGTGTTTTCATTGATTACTATAAAGACTTGCTCTTCTTCCTGTGCTGTCTCTGCAGTTTATAGGATGCAGTCATGTTATGCTTCTTTTAATTTTAAATGACCGTTTGCTTTGCTTTTCCTTCTTTTTGTGCTACAAACATAGTGGATTTATGGTCTGTGGGGTGCATTATGGGCGAAATGGTTTGCCACAAAATCCTCTTTCCAGGAAGGGACTGTATCCTTGTGCTGCTGCAGCAGGTTGAATTAGTTAGGAAGTGATTAACCTTTTTATTGATGTTATGTCATGAAAATGCGTATTGTGCAATTTTTTTTTTTTATTAAATGAACATGGATTTTTCTTGTGATACACTTAAAAAAATTGCTAAGAACTTCATTTATATTCAGGCTGCACCTAGCAGTAGGACATAGTCTCTGCTGGTCCTGTAGTTAGCATACATTCACCTTCACTCATTTTCATTACACACGCTTTTTATAGTCACTTCATGTGTGTGTGTCTAGATGTTTTTATTTACTTTATTTTAATAACTATCTTTTATGTTAATATCATTGCATTTTGTTTTCAGTTGACATTTGGTCAGTTGGGTGCATCATGGGAGAAATGATCAAAGGTGGTGTTTTATTTCCTGGTACAGATCGTATCCTTACCTTTGGCCTAGGATGTAGTTGTAAAAGGTCAAAAGATACTGCAGCAATATAGTTCCAGATTAAGGTGGTTCTAATTTTTAAAATACTGGTTTTAAACTGCCTTTTCAAAATACAATTTGCAAGTTCATAGTTTTGGTTCCAGGAAGCTGCAAAAATGTCTACAGTTATACCATTTAAAGCAAAACCACAACACAGCATTACTGTGTATGACTGTCTTTAGAGATTAACACTAAGCAAGATGAACAAAATACCACTTGGGCAAACAGGTTTATTTTTCCTTCTTTCTTTTTCCTTTTTTTTCCCTCTTTTTTCTTTTTCCAATTTAGTACAGTGTCTATCCATTGCTTTTGGATGTTGTCACATTTAAGATAGGGTCTTTTTGTGTTTAGGTGGTGTTTTATTGGTTCACGTACATTGATTTTTGCTTTGGAGATCATTTTTATGTAATAACTTACTAATCTTGTTCAGTAGCTGAGCGCGTTAGTAGTTATTATTCTTTACATTTTATAGGAAATGTTTACAAAAAATTCCTAACCAGCTTAATTAGTTACACTCTGGAGTTTTATATTTTTGTATGCAGAAATGGTCCTGCAAACAGCTTTCAGAAATACCTGGCACTTCTGTCTTTCTATTCTGTGAATGATTTGGTGGTATCTGTATGGGTTGTCCTGTGAACAATACTTCAGACAAAGGGTCTGTTCCAAGCAAATAGAGCTGAAACCTCTGGATCGTGGCTAAAATTAGTGGATCTAATTGGAGTTTGGCATCATTTGTTTTACTAGTAGTTACAGTCCAGTTTTTTAGATGCTGTCAGAAATCTTCCCTGCTTTTTCTGCAGGTTAACTGTTTAATAATTGATATAGTACCAATTAGGGGTGAAGATTGGGTGAAGATTTTGAGGCACAGTAAGGAGATCCAGGGCATCCTTACTTTCACACAGCTCTGTCATTGCATGAGCTGCACCATGCTTAGCTTTATGCATCTGGTTTGCTAGCATGGCTTTTCAGTTTAGGCTCAGTGCCATACAATGTAAGTACATTTTTTTTCAAGGCCTGTACTAAAGCACTGTAGAGCTTGAAAATCCTTATATAAAGGTCTGCTGTTAAGTTTTAAAAACATAAGAGGGGGCCTGCTACATCCAACTGAAGGTTTAGGTGGCCCAGTATCCGCTTGGGATGTAACTTGAGAGAGTCCAGGACTGGGCTGAGGTATCAAGATGAGAACGAAGGACAAAGCACCTACACAAGGTAGTTCTCATGAGTGCCTTGGTGATGTGGAGCAGCTTGACTACTATGAATACGTGCTCAGATGAGGAAGTGAGTTCTTCTCCAGAACCCAAACAATGCCTTTATTTCAGTTTAATACATTTTGTGAGTCTCTTAATTTTCTCTGTTTCTCAGAAGTATATCCTTTGCTAGTTAATTATGATTTTGAGTAAAATACACGTTGCCTTGACTTACTGTATCATAGTCTTGCTTTGTTTCACTGTTTTCTCTAAGAAGGTAGTCCTAATTAATGATGATGAACTTGATATTTTATTATGATTTTCTGTTTTCTCTCTGTTGGTTATTTCATGTGGTTTTAACATAACTTTCTAGCTGAAAATTAGACACAGTGTTTTTCTTAGCTGCATAACCTTAGATATTGATCAATGGAATAAAGTTATAGAGCAGCTAGGAACACCATGCCCTGAATTTATGAAGAAATTACAGCCTACAGTCCGAACTTACGTGGAGAACAGACCTAAATATGCTGGATATAGTTTTGAAAAACTCTTTCCAGATGTCCTTTTCCCAGCTGACTCTGAACACAATAAGCTTAAAGGTAAGGTCTGTCACCTGTGTGTTATATATTTTAAAAGTTTTAAAACTGTGATATATTGAACAGAAATGTATCTTGGTTTTGTTCCCTATAAGATCATGCCGCTAAGGATTTAAATATTACAGTATTTGTGTCATGGGAGTGGGTGAAGGTGCTGGTGTATGCTTACTTTCACTTTCTCGTCTTTTCTGAAACAGCTCCTGTTCTGGAGATACCTTTATAAACAAAAGTCCTCTCCGTGACAGATGCCAACATGATTTAGAGAAGAGTTGGGGGAGGGTGGAATAGAAGTTGTGTATGCAGAGCAGATAGATCTTCTTTCTCTATAAAGTTTTTATATTCATAATACATAGATACCCTGTAGTTACTGAAATAACTTACTGGTTCTAAAAGTCACCTACTCAGTGGAGTCACAGACTCACTATATTTTCTGTGAGTAACAGCCCGTGACAGTTTTTTTCCCCATAAACTGTAAGAGAGCGGTAGTAGGTGCTATTTCAGACAAGGCTGTACTGCCAGCTGTGTTGTATTTTACATAAGGATGTCATGCCAAGGGGTACTGTATGCTGAAAATGTATAGTAAAACATGTACAACTCCTTTCCCACCTGTGTTATTCTCTTGAAGGTTGGGGGTTGGTTTTTTTTTTCATCAAATGGACCGCTTTCCTAAACCCCAAATTATTTTGACGGTTGCATAGATATTAAACTGGAATTTGTTTACGCTGGGTCTCCTCTCCTTATGAGCTTTGAAATACTGTATTATGTGCACTATATATGGCACTAGTCTAAATAGAAAATTTCACTTTTGCAGCAAGTCAAGCAAGGGATTTGTTATCAAAAATGCTGGTTATAGATGCTTCTAAAAGAATCTCTGTGGATGAAGCCCTGCAGCACCCATACATCAATGTTTGGTATGATCCATCAGAAGCAGAAGCTGTAAGTTCTTGTTTTAGGTCTCTGATTAGGAGGGTACTGTACTAAAGCAAACTTGTTGTGATGCTTGATATAACTGCTTGAAAGAAGATTATTGCATGATCTACACATTTCTCTAGAAGCTTAACTGAGCCATAATCATTTTTATTGACATAGATTGACATGTTTATTAGAAATAGTATTAGAAATGGGTGCAAACTGAAGTACCTGTATCTCTGTGTGTGTGTTCATGTACAATTGCATATAATCTCCTGGACATGTAGTAATGCATCTGAAATCTTTTATATAGGGTTCTAATTTATTCAGCTTCAGTTGTTTCAGTGTGGTTTGATTGCCCTTGATAGGATTCTGGGGTATTTATTCATGGGCAAGAGAAATATTTTCATTAGTTGTAGCAATTGATAGTAGTCTTAAACAAGAAAATAAGTATTTCAGCAAAATTTGAGTACAAGATTTTGAGCTTTCAGTTATTAACACTAATGAACAAAGGGATTAATTGAAAATTTTTCTTAAAAAATTAATTTCAGGACAATTTCAGCTTATGAGAAAGGTCATTTTTTTTAAGAGAAAGGTGATTGGTGGTGGGCCACTAAGAATAGAAGAAGATGCTTGATGTAAATGGTGCAGTTAGAATTCTGCTGATCTACTATAGCTAGAGGGAAAATTTAGTAATTAACAGTAAGTAGGTATAAAGGGGTGTTTGGGCTGGAGACTGCTGCACTTGGGAGCTCTTTTACCAGACTGTTCAGTTTCTATTTTAATTATTACAGTAATGTAAGCAAATCTGTTAATCAGAAGATGTTTAAAATATGTAGCAGCATCTAGAAAATAGACCAAGTCCAAGTATGAGAGAATATATGATGATGTAAATACTGTATTTTTAAATCAGGTTCATATTCTGGGTGCTTATTTTCATTTTTCACTTATTCTGTTTTTGTGTCCCTTTTGATTGCTTTATCATGAGTTAGTTTTGTTTTTCAGCCACCACCAAAGATACCAGATAAGCAATTAGATGAGAGGGAGCACACGATAGAAGAATGGAAAGGTAAGAAGGGCATTTTAAGTTTACTAAGGCCTTTGGAAGTAGCCTGGGCCCCAAGAATTGCTGTTGCTAAGGTGGTTCTGAGCAACCTCATAGTATTTACTAAAACTGTTTGGAATGGCAAGGGAATAGATCAGTGCTTCACAACCTCTTGATTGTCAGGACACTAAAAATTTTCTTCTGAAGGTGCTGAACCTTTGTAGTGAACTTAAGACCTGCCAATTTCAGTCACCTTTTTCAAACTTAAGGCAGCGTTTTTAGGGAGGGTAACTCTTCTGGACAAACTGTTACATTGAAAAAGGTGCAGGAGTTTGAGCAATGTAAGTTTGAAGTAGAAGCACTAGTCTTCAAGTGAAGAGTATATTAGCAATAACTATACTTTTTTAAATCAAGCAGAGGATTTGAAGGAAAAAGCCATAAGGAGTGTTAGTAATGGGCAAGATAGTGAGGTTACAGCTGGGGTGGGAGACACGGATGGTTATCAGCTGTGGGATCCTGAGAAAGTAGCTGGGGTTGAGGTGTGGAATGTGACGTGAGACTCGTACCTCCAAGAGCATGATTTTTAGTGTTCAGTACTCTCTCAGTATGTATATTTCCTGGTCATATATGAGGTGTAAAATGATAAAGTAAAAGGGGAACATCTTTGTTACTTGTAAAGCTTGTGCTTCATTTTGAAATTGCTTCTAAAAGGTGTGGTGTTATTGCAAAAGTCCTAGTGCTAAGAAAAAATGCAGATCCAGAGTGCAGGCTATAAATGTTGCATTTAAGCAGGAATTTAGTGCATTGAGCAATCTAATACTTTGTACTGAAAAAGTCTAGGAAGGGACATTAAACCTGTATAGCCTTTTTATCCCCAGAGGAACAAAAGCAGGGAAAACGTTTCATGAATCATTTTTGCCAGTTTCATTATGTTGGCTGGTAATGGACACAGGTCTGTAAAATGTAGTACTACCACACTTTTAAGTTGTTTTCTATTAGAAACTGAGTTTTAGTGGTAAAGGCGCAGAGATAAGGAGAATTGTGGAAATTCCCTTACCCTCTTCCTTCCAAGCAAAGTTATTTCCCTTTTGAAGCAGATGTGCTGAGGGTATTTCAAGCAATATGGAGTTTACTTTTGAGACTCGCACAGCCCTTGAAATTATAATTCTTAAATGTTCTTTTCTTCCAAACTGTTGCTTTAGTTTGCCAGTGACAGTTAAACAAGTAGTATCCTGATGGTCAGTTCTTATGAGTTGCATTTAACACGTTTAGTCCTTTTCTTCTACTGTTACTTCTGTAGATTCACAGCTGAAGTCTTTTCTGGGTAATAAGCTGCCATTAGCCTAGAAACCTTCTGGCCAGTACACAGGGTGTGTGATTCATGTTACAAGCACTTCTGACCTTTTTAAGGATGAGAAACTTCTGTAACTGGCAGATAAAGTTGCTGCTTTCATTTGGAGTGACTACTTACGTGCCAATATTGTATTCCATTTCATGGTGATCTGGACCTTTAGATATTGTTGCTGAGGAAATTTAGTGGTAAATGTGTGTTGGGAGGATGCCAATGTTGTTTGGGCTTGTTGCTACCTGTTCTGTTGAAGACTGCTGATCGAGTTTATCTGTACCAAAGAAGCCATTGATTAAAAACTGAGTGGTTATTAAGACTCAGTTTAACATCAGGTCCCCAGGCAGCCTGGACAAAAGAGTCTTAGAGCAATGTCAATGTGTTCTTGAGAGTGCCAGGCCATTGTATCTCCAACAGAAAAGAACTGTACATTTTTATATCACTTGCCAGTTGTTCTGTAGCCTCTACAGCCTGTTGTTCAAAACTAATTCTGAACAGTAATAAACCTATGAAATTTAAATGTACATTTTAATGGGAACTGTATTATCAATCCAGTCTTTGGTTTGCAAATTCATTTTTTGCCTTCCCTTCTCTGCATTTTCAGAGTTGATATACAAGGAAGTGATGGACCTGGAGGAGAGAACCAAGAATGGGGTTATACGTGGACAACCAGCCCCTTTAGGTTGGTTACAATAAAAGCACAGTATCAAGCTAGACTGAGTTGTAGGTCAGGAGGGAGTAAAGCTGTTCAAGACATCCAAGAGTGCCCTAACTCAAAAATATGGCTCTTAAATGACCAATAACCTCTTGAATTCTCCTTGAGATGTTGCTTATTTGAATGGAATGTATGGGGCTGTTATCTCTTTTTATTAATCTAGTGAATTCCTCTATTATTGTCCCCACGTAACGGATGTTTCATTCATTTCAGTCCTCAAGAGACTCCTGGTATGTACTAGTACTCTTGCCATAATCTGGTTAGATGTGTAACTTGTAGCTGGTGCAGTTTCAAATAAAGATATAACCACTACTTTTATCTACTAAGTAATGAAACAGGATTTCTAGGTTGTCTGCCTTGAATATCCCTCTAAACAGAAAGAAAATTGATATAGACTCCATTTGCACTGTTGAAAAATGATGGCAAGAGTTGGTCAACTGTTGCTGACTCTGCTGAGAGTTCACTGAAGTCCAGACTCTGAAAAATCACTGTGTACCTGAGATTGTATACATTCGATGTGGCTGAACACCACCTATTTCCCAGCCTGAAGGGGAGGATCTGATGGAAAAAACTAGTCCCCTTCTTTCTTTATCTAAATATGTAGATATATTCTAGCTTTGGATCTCAATATTTAGTAGGATATCTTAGCTCTGGCTTTATGCAGCATCATCTATGAGATTTTTAACCTTCAGCCATTATCATTTTATTGTAATTTGGCAGTTATCACGTCACGTGAGTTCTGTGTTCTTGGCATACCATTCATTAAGCCCCATGTTAAAGACTTGTGGGTTTTATTTACTTTGACAATGGACTGAGACACGTCTCTTCAAACTTGCCAAAACAAGGGAAAGTAATGACTATTAGGAAGAGACAGACTAATGCAAGTACTGAACCGTGCAACTGTATCTGCAACTGATTTGCTGTTTTGTTTCTCATAGCACAGGTGCAGCAATGATCAATGGCTCTCAACATCCATCTTCATCGTCATCTGTCAATGATGTGTCTTCAATGTCAACAGATCCAACATTGGCCTCTGATACAGACAGCAGTCTAGAAACCTCAGCTGGACCTCTGGGTTGCTGTAGATGACTACTTGGTCTTTTGGGGGGTGGGAGGGGGGTCCTTTTAGTCATTAATAGGGCACCTTTAAAATTTGGTGGTATTTTTGAGTGTTTTTTCAAAAATAATCGTAGAATTCATCATAAAGTGCTGTAATTTTAAACTGTAAGTTGTGTTAAAAGCAGCCACTTTTTTTGCTGTAATTAACTGTAAAATATTAAACCTTGTAATTTTTATTGTGGTTTTAAAATCTGCATATTTGCTTTACTATTATGCTGCTGATCTTTTTTTACTGAATTTGTAAGATTTGCTTTATCAAAGCACATATTAATGTTGTGGTCATTACCATATGATGAATTATTTAAGATTTTATAGGTTTTCAATTTTTTAATTAGAATTTATTCCAGATGTTTTGTTCATGATATCCTTCAAAGTTTTATGCTTGGTCATATGTCCATGTCCTGGTGGAGGGGGAGAGAATTCAGTGCAGCCAGCTGTAGTTTTAGGCATACTACTGTGGTGCTGGCAGTGAACAAAATCCTCTTTTATTTTGGCCATTTGCCTATAATACTTCAGCAAAAGCAACAATTGGTGATTTTTGGTTTTAGAGAAACAGTGTACAATCCTTTGCAAAGTAACCTCATCTGAATGGTTTTATGAACTTAAGGGAGCAAAGCATATCTTCAAAGCTGCAGAAATATCTAGCCTAACAAAGTAAAGCGATGTTTTCTGCAGAGTTGTGGCATGCCAAATCTTGTGATCACCATAAAACACGAGGATACTTCATGAATAATACATTGCAATGCAAATAAACTGTTTACTTCTAGCTTGTAGCCTGTTTTTGTACACACAAAACAAAGTGTATCCAGGATGTCTAGACTGCCATGAGGGAAAACGAATATGCTGTAGCTATACTTTAATGTAATATGTGATTCTTGGGAGTTTTGTTTCTTACTAGTTTTGTCTACTAAGGCGAGTGCTTTTTGGGTAGAATAGGGAATGACGTGAATGCGGTAGGGGCAAAACTTCAGCTATTCTTTCTCCACCAAAAGTAACTGATTGCTAAAAACCATTAAGTGGTAGGAGAACCTCAGGATTTCTGTAGCTAATGCATTAAGTGAGCAATATATGCCATCCAAAGGAGGGAGAAGTAGTGCTGTATAAATTAATATTTATCTCTTTCATTTCACCATGAGACCAGTGTAGCAGAAATCTTAATAATGGTTCATTTTAAATCATAAATATTCAGTAGTTTTCAGCACTGAAGCTCCAGGTTTCAATACACTTTTTAAACAAAAGATATATTGAAATATATAGAACAGTTACTAAATAGTCATGTAAAATGGTGCTGCTCCTCACAGAAGTATTTTAACTGTTTACATTTTATATTTACAGAATGATTTATGTATAACTGACTTAAGTTTATGTATGAGTTAAACAATCATTTAGAATTTATTCCTTTGGAAAATGCAGATTTTTAGTGAAGCTAGGCTGTATAATTGATTGCCTTGTGTAGATGCATATTTTGTGTAGTGAATTAGAATGTGAAGAGGAATTTAAATTAGTAATGCTCACAAAAATGAGCATTAAAAAAATACAGAAGTCTTGCCAGGCACAGAGCATAAGCAAATCCTATAACTGGCTACAGAGGTCATCCAGGAATGACTGATGCTCTTCAGTGTGGTTCCTTCTGCTTGTTGGGTTAAAGAGGTATCTTTTTGAAGTTCTAATTGAAAGAGGAAAATTTGTCTTTGCAGTAAGTTTCAGAAAAATAGAAGTGATAGTAATGCTTTCAATATCTAACATGTCTTTTTAAAAAACATACAGGGTTACAAGGAATGGTAATGTCTCAAAGATGACTAAATTGGTAAACTGCACAGTTGTTTTCCTGGCCTGGCTAGACTGCTGGTAAGTGCCGTGTGCGTGTAATTTTGCTTTCCTCACTTGTATCTAATATTGCCTTTCTAAATGACATTTGTTAAGGCAATTATTTTTACAGGGTCCTGCTAATTGTATATTACCTTAGAATAGGCAGGACATGTTTGGATTCATCTAGCACTGGAACATAGAAAATCTGCTCAAGTTGAACAGAGACCAACAGAACAGTCTATTTTGTAATTTTTTATCAAAGTTTAAGCTGTGAATTAAGCCAAAATTTTTGGTCATACAACAGTACTCCATTGTTATGTAAGGTCAAATGATACTCCGGTCAACACAGTGTTATGAAGTTAAGGCTGACAAAATCAACTTCTGATGCCTGTAAGTGCTGTTAAGAACAGAATTTGGTAAATATAATTCCTATTTAAATTTATTTTGGACCCCTGGATTGCAGTGGTGACTAAAATGTTTTGAAACTTTAAAATCATTTTTGCTATCACTTTCCAGTGTCCTAAAAAAAAACCTGCTTTAAAATGAATATCGAGTGAAATAGTTACTATGCTTTTATTGCAGTGTGCTATCAATAGTAACGTCGTTGAGTTCATAAGCTCTAAGAAGAATTGAGCTTTTCTTCTTTTAAGGTAGGGAACCTAGAGTTCACTTTTGGCACCATCTTCATAGCAGTGTTGCTTTTTTTTGTTTGTTTGTTTGCAGTTGCTTGCATTTTAGGCAAATTAAAGTGATGGCAAATTTCAAAGACAAGAAAATCAGATTCAGTAAACAAATTATCACAACAACATGCTAGTCTTAACTTCCCTTTTTATTTGTTGAAATATAAAATTATTTCAAAGATAGTTGTACACTGCCACAGATAGCAAACAAATGGGTAGCTAGAGTTCAGCTGTCTGTTGTTATGTTGTTAGCTCATATACTATCTAATACACTGTACAATTTTATTCTTAAAGTATTAAGCTGTACTTTAGTCTATGATTCCAAAATCTCATGACAACAGGCTTCAGTAAAGTGCATGCAACTTCCTGCTTTAGGGCCGTTCCAATCCCTTGGGAGTTGGTAGGGAGTGAATTACAGTGAGCTGTGCCTGATTTCTTATGTCAGGTGAGGTTAAAAGTTGGGCAATAATAACAAGATTAATTTCCACCTTCTCTGGTCAGAGCTGTGGCAGGCATCAAGCATAAAATAGCTCCTCTCTTTTTGTAGAAGTAGGTTCTTCAAGATTTTGAAACAGAAGTGGGGGGGGAAATTAGTACTGTTACTGTGTGCTGCACCTCTGCTCTGTGAAGTCTTTCTTTGTTAATGCAAGACAATGGGGTCAGAATTGAGGTTTTTGTGTGTTAGTGTGTGTGAGAAGCTGGACTGCCAGAGGAGTACCCATCAGCTGAACAACTTTAGACCGGCCTGACTGACCAGGTCACCTCTAGTGCATCCATTCTGCTGAGCTGAATAGATATGGCAACTTTCCCTATGTAGGTGCTGTGCAGCTTGGGTTTTTAGTTTAGAAGAACCTTACTATGCTATATGCAATAGTGTCTTTCTGGATAGGAATTCCAGCTAGGCACAGATAGTATCAGCATAAATTGTTTGGAAAGCCCCCCCTATCAACACAGGTGTGAAAGTAGGGGAGGACATGGGAGCTGTATTTGAGGCAGTTGTGGCAATAGCACCCTCTGCTGCCTCAGTGTCCAAGTAAGTAGCGTATTACTGATGTGGGTTTGTGTTATGGAAAATGGCTTCTCTGAACACCGGCTATTTTGTTAGAGAGCAAAAATTAAGCACCTTGACAGGCCTTTGCATGAATGTAATGCTGCTGCATTAATGTGTATGGCATTCATCTCAACATTGCATAAAGAAAAACGATCAAAAAGCTAGTACAGGAGGATAGTTCCTACCCAGCCAGTAATCCAAAGCGTATGGCATTAAATGTTTCTCAGTTAAGATTATGGGGGAAAGGGGAGAAGACAGTTCAGCTTACACTTGGTCTTACTGTTTTGAGTTGCTAAAGGAAGCGAATTACTGTTTCTAGACATGTTTTTATTTGCTGTTGACAGCAGCTTGTCCATGCTGTTACATTTTATTTTCCTGTCGATGTTTTGGTTCTTACATATTTAGTTTGAGGACTGGAGTTGAAGGAGAGCTGTCTGCATTCTTCAGTAAGATTAGAAAGAGGGGTTTAATGGAGAAATGTGATGAGGCTCTGCTGCCTACCCAAATTTTCAATTTATTTATTTTATTCTTAGTTAAGGGCACTGGATAAAAGTGGTATTTTAAGTGATCTCTTTCACTCCCTTCTCCTCCTCTTTAGATATTTCTGCATTACAGAAACGTACAGAATCAGATCACGTTGTGTTTCTACTTCTGCAGTTAAAAATTTAAGCTAGGTTTTCTTGAACTACCTCACACAAACTTTCTACGTTTAAGTAAGCAAAGCTAACCCTTGCTATTGGAACTACACTGAATGTGAATAGAAAAATACACTTCCTTTAGAAAAATAAACCTATTGGCCAATGTTGAGACAATATCAGTAAGTCGGTTTCTTATATATTTCACGTAAGATGTTCATGTGTAATATATAGCTTGTGTACAATAATGTACATCTAGAATATTGTGTTAGCTGTAAATTGGTGATTTTATTATTGTAGTCTGGTTTTGTAGGTAAAAATAGCTTACTAGTAGTGTCAGCTCATCCTTTACATTTTACAAAAGGAATAACTCTTGGTAAGCTTTGCATACAGATGAATTACTTTTGTAGGCCCAATATCTAGTCTATTTTTGAGAGTTCTTTAACTTTTATTACTAAAGTTGAGAAAAAAAAACCCTAATTATTGTGATCATTCCTTCTGCCCCTTTTGAAATATATTATTAATTTTATTTTGTCCCAAGAAATATGAAGGGGAAGATACACCATTAAAAAGACTGGGGAAAAACTGTAATTTTTTTTTTTTCTTCCCCACATTTGATATCTTTTCCTGCTTTTCCTTTATTCCCTCCAAATAAGCTGTTGGTGGGGCATTACTGAGAACATTGTGGTTTTTTTAATCATTCATGCCATAGGTCATTACATGTGCACCACTGGAATGTATACATTGTTATCTAGTATGTCAATTGGTTATAATGATATTTTAAATAAAAAAGAAAAAAAAAGTTTGACCACTATCCATTTAGTGTTTCTTCATTGCTAGGCTGGAATGGATTTCGTATGGATTTTATAATAAGGCTGCAATTGGAATTTTATTAGCGTCAGTCCTTCCTGAGAATTCATCTGTTTTTAATGGTACTTGAAGTCCTGCCTTGTGTGTGAGCTCACTCGTGGGCAAAGTGATGTGTTTCTTCCGTTTCTCCATTCATGTGGGCTTTGGATGTGCCACAGACTGATAATACCAAGTGTGTTTGCGACCGCTGGGAATCCGTTCTTGCTTCCTTGCTGCCAACTCTCGCCGCCTTCTTTCCTGGAAGTATAGCTGCTGAGACCCTGTGTTGCAGGAAGAGGTGGGCAGTCTAATCTGCGAAAGGAAGGCCCAGTCCCTGCGCCCTCAGGAAAATGTTTCTGAAAACTGAGTCTCAGAGAAGCCTGAAGGATCTGACTTCTGAAGAGCTCTTACTGGAGAACTAACTTGGGTGCCAGGACCACTTCCTGCACTGGCACCTCTGCAGTGGGGCTAAATCCTAACATAATGCATTTCATTGCCTTCGTTTCGAGGGAGTTCTCGGCATTTCTTTAAACGAAGACTCGAGATGCCCTTGAGTTGTGTTCGCGTGCTGTTACATTGTCTTTGTGTTCGTTTTTAAGGGAAAGGTACTGTGTCCATGGGCAGTACAGCACAGCCTGCTTTGTTTCTCTCGACCAGCTATTAGTGAGGTGCTCTTCTAGGAATGTAGTGAGGCTCAGAAATGCTCTTTTTTATTTGTATATGTTAGCATAAAGTGTAGCTG